AGTTATGGACAAAAAAAATTTGTATCATCACTCACGACAGATCCAGTCGACTACAACCCATTGAAAAATCATAAAAATCATTTTCTAGAGGGTATAGACCTCAGGCCCAGATCAATGTGATATCCAACTGATCTGGTGACAGCTAGGGGCAGTGAAATGATGACTCTACCTAACCTAGAGTGATTCGAGTACTCAAGTTATGTTTGCTAGTATTACTTCAAGGGAAAATCTACGATAGAAAGCCCGCCATATATTTGTAGAGTGGGCCAGCAAGGGTACAATGAACTCGGCACGCCAAATCTGGGAACTCCAAGCTGCCATTGAGACTAAGAGGGATTTGGCGGATATCAATTGGGAAACGATCAAGGGCCTGGAGATCCAGCTTGCAACTGCTTTCCGTCAGGAAGAAATTTTCTGTAAACAAAAGTCTAGAGTGGATTGGCTTCAGCGGGGAGATGCCAACACCAACTTCTTTCATTCCCAAGTTTGGCAGCACCGGCGTGAGAACCTCATTGAAGTTCTTCGTGATGAGAATGGGAAAGTTCATTATGAAGAGGATGCTAAAGGGTCCGTGGCAGCTTCCTTTTACCAACAACTATTTTCTTCCAATGGGAACTCTCCTCACTTCCTCCTTGCTGCTCTTGGACTCCCTAGGTAGGTATCAGAAGCTCATTTTGTCTGACCCTGTCTCTATTTCCGAAATTCGAAAGGCGGTGTTCAGCATAGGGGCTCACCAGGCACCTGGTTCGGATGGTTATACAGGGGCTTTCTTTCAATTCTACTAGGATATCATTGGGGACTCAGTCTCGGCAGCAACCCTCTCCTTCTTCCGGTCTGGTCGCTTGCTTCATAACTACAACCACACACTCTGACCTTGATTCCCAAAGTTCCCAATGCGTAGTTCATGAAGCAAATAAGACCGATCGGATTGTGCCAGGTTTTCTACATGGTTCTAGCTAAGGTATTGGCAAGCCGTCTAAGCTCGATCTTGCCGGACATAGTTAGCGAGTCTCAGAATGGTTTCGTCAAGGGTCGGGACATTTCAGACAACATTCTAATTGCACATGAGGTTATGCAATTATTAAAGACTAAGTCTCAGGGCCGAGATAAGTGGATGGCGGTTAAGCTCGACATGGAAAAGGCGTACGACCGCGTCGAGTGGGGCTTCCTCTTTGCAGTTATGGAGGCGTTGGGATTTAGTGATCAATGGATGAAGTGGATCCGAGCTTGTATCACATCTGTTTCCTTCTCCCTGATTCTCAACGGGACTGAGCATGGGTACTTTAGACCGCAAAAGGGTATCCGACAAGGGGACCCCCTCTCCCTCTTGTTTTTTGCGATCTATAATGAAGCTTTCTCCGCCATGATTTCTGGAACTATTAACTCAAACCAGCTCCATGGATTGAAGATTCACTGCCGCGCCCCATCGATCTCTCATCTCCTATTTGCGGATGACTCGTATATCTTCCTACGAGCCTCCACCCCCGAATGCAGCTCCCTTCTCCTCCTCCTTCAACTCTATGAACAGGTGAGCGGGGCAAAAGTGAACCTCTCCAAGTCTTCTGTTTATTTCAGTGCTAATGTTTCAGACCAGGAAGCTTCTCAGATTGTTGGGCAGCTGGGCATTTCTTCGATTGGGCCCCTGGACAGGTACTTGGGCTTGCCATCTTAGGTCCAACGTTCAAAGGTTCAAACTTTTCAGTATGTGGAAGATGCTCTCGCTGCTCGTATTCGTAGTTGGAAGTCAAAAGCCCTCTCCCTTGCAGCCAAGGAAGTTATGATCAAGTCAGTGGGGTCGGCCACACCGGTATACACAATGCTTTCCTTTAGACTCCCTTCTACAAGCTGTCGCTGCCTGAATAGTCAGCTGGCTCGCTTCTAGTGGTCGGGTCAGGACAAGAAGACCGACATCCACGGGATTTCCTGGCCTGCGATTTGTGTGAGTAAGTTCCAGGGCGGCCTTGGTTTCAAGGACTTTGACCTCTTTAACATTGCAATGCTCGCGAAACAGGCTTGGAAGCTCGTCCAAGATCCATCGTCCACTCTAGCCCGGCTATACAAGGTTTGATATCACCATAATTGCTCATTTCTCAGTGCGTCGGTGGGGACAAGACCTTCTTGGGCTTGGCAAGGTGTTCTGGAAGGGAGGAAGCTACTTAGTAAGGGTCTCCGTTGGCAGGTGGGTTGCGGTTCAGCCATCGACATCCTCAACCAGGCCTGGCTCCCGACTTCCCCACCGTCTTCGCCGAAGCTGTTACCTGGGGTTTCCCTCCCAAACCCCTTTGTTGCATCTCTCATCCACCCTACCACCAGAACCTGGAACCTAGAATTACTCCAAAGCCTCTTCCAGGATGACAACATCACTTGGATCCTATCAATCCCCTTACCGTATGCTCCTCTGCCGGACCGTCTAATCTGGCACTACTCGCTCTCGGACATTTACATTGTGAAGTTTGGATATCAGCTCTTGTCGGCTGAACGCTCATCAGGATTCGACCCGCTCCCCGTGCTCTTGGACTCTAAATTCTGGAAATTTCTGTGGAACTTGCTCGTTCCTCCGAAGTTAAAATTCTTCTTATGGCAGCTTGTGCGTGGGTTCCTTCCTTTGTGTGTTGTGCTGAAACTGAAAACATTATGTGATGATGATGTATGTCCTATTTGCTCGGAAGGGTCTGAATCTTTTCCCATTGTTTCTTCACTTGCAGAATAGCGTGGGGAGTAAGGGATTTAGCCGGATTTGATTCAATCCACATGGCAGTCAGCTAGTTCAGCCCGGATACAGTATGGCATAATATTTTCTTTAACTCCCAGCTGTCAAAAGTGCAGGTTGCCGAAGTTGTCTTCCTTGTTTGGCGCATTTGGAATGGAAGATGTTGGTCTGTCCACGACCATATTCAGTATCTACCCCCAGCTCTTCATCGGCAATTTCATATTCAAGTGGACGAGTGGCAGGAAGCCTCGGCCAGCCAGCCGCGCGATTCCTCGGTAGGGAGACAAACACCAGTGCCAGGTCCGCCAGTCTCCAATCCTCCAGGGGACTCCTCCTTCGATTTGATGGTGCGTTCAACAAAGACACAGGTGGCCGTGCGGGATTCGTGGGGTACGCAGCAAGATCGTCCTTGGTATGTGCCTATGGTAAGTTTTATCCAGTTTTGAGCGATCCGTTTCTTGCGGAACTTCTTGCTCTTCGTGTTGCAATGTTATGGTGCATAAACCATGGATATTATAACGTTTGTTTTTGTGGAGACTCTCAACTGGTTATTCGACGGGTTATGGAGAATGAGGTTCACCATGAGTCCGGAGGGGCAATTCTGGAGGAAATCCGCCTGCTGAAGTCAAGCTTCTTTTTCGTTAAGTTTGTTTATGCTTCTCGTAGGACTAACAGGGCTGCCCATTTAGTGGCAAAAACGGTCCTTGCATCGGCAGTTCGACACTCGGTGGACTGCCGCTATTTACTTTTCAACCACTTGTAATCACCTGTCTATCTACAATCTATCTATGGCAAAAAAAAAAAATCTACGATGAACATAATTTTCATATTAGTATGACAATAAATTGTCCTTATATGTTTTTAGATCATCAATGCAAGAAAAATGCATGTACGATATCTTACGCTTATGATTTATTATGACAAACGAGAAATGGCGCACAATCTAATTAGTTTGCCATCGATGACTAATCGTGCCAACACTGATGTAATGTAGCTAGAATGGCATGATTATCAAAATGCAGTTTTATGTATGATTTGATTGGTTTGATAATCTATAGAACTCTAGGAAAATTCACCTAGACAACGTCTTTTATGTGTGCACTAGTCCTGTGTTTTTCATGGTCTTTCCAGTCTATCTATTTTCATATTGTTTTGGTTTTCGAGTTCTTCGTGTTCTTATCTCCAGTTTGGTTTTTTATAATAAGTGTTTACTGTGTTTTCCTTTATCTTCTGTTTCGTTTATGGTCTATTGAGTCTATGTTATTTACATACTTTTTGCTTTGTGAAATCAATTTTATAGTTTTGAATAAAAAATCCATAGCACCTCAACCACACGACCTGTTTTTTTAGGCACTAGTTGTTGAACACTTGAACTAGAGTAAAACCGAAGGAAATGACACTAAAATATTATAATTCTAGAAATCTTCGTACGGCGGATTCGGGGGTGGCCACCCCGAGCCACGGCCCAGCCCTCCCCAGGATCCGGAGCTAGTATAGTCCTTATAAGTTTATCGATTTTACTATTTTAGTCATTCGGCCAAGTGTTAATTTATAATAAGATTGTGTGTAATTAGGAAATTGGTAAGATGAACATATTCAAATCACAACTCTAAATTTAGTTTGAAAATTCTAGCTCCAATGATTCTCATCTAAAGAAAAACAAAATGAAACATAAAATTCTAAAACGTAAAAGACTAAAAGAAATATGAGGTTTATTCCCTTAAGAAATTACTAGAGCAGCTGGTGAAAATAGGAATTGATACACAATATATATTGATTAGTCGATTGATTTGTCTAGTGTTGACATTGCTCGTTTCAACAACTACTATGGAGATAACCTTTTTCAACAATGAAATAGGTGAAAAATTATGTGTGCAACAAAATGAGCGATTAATTTCTCGCCAATTGGTTTAACTATTTTTATCGACGTGTACAATTAATATTGTAAAAAACACTGATTTTTTTACGGTATCTAATTTTCTAATGAAATTCGACCCAGTGCTCTAATGTGTCCTGGATCCGCCGCTGACTTGAGTTATCTTTGAACCACACTATCTACCACAAATGAATGGCTAGCTAATTGATATTCCAAACTCCTAAGATTGGAGTAGCAACCCAAATATTTTGTCGAATACATCACTCAACTCCAACTTTTTTTTTTGACAAGGATAAACTCCAACTTTTAGTTGCCCCACAATGCAAAAGCTATATAGCTTTTTATGTGGTCAAGGACACAAAGAATATTGAACTTCACATCACTTATATATATATGGTGGCGTTTCGGTGCACTTACTTTTTTGGTGCATTCAGTGCACTCGCTTCATAATCGTCATTTTAAAAATGAGATTTATGTCAAAATGATGTCAATCATCACTTATGATGTGATGAACAATAACGCACATGAATTTGCACAAAAACCATGAAAGATTTGTTTTAATTTGAAGGATTTAGAGTTTAAAGATCTAGGGTTAGGGTTAGGGTTTACAGTTTGGGGTTTAGGGATAGAACTCAAAATTGGAGGTCTAGGGCTTAGGGTAATCTGCTAATTAGTTGTTATCATATATTATATCATCATATTATACTAATTCTACAAATTAAAATTCAAAATCCGACTCCTTAAGACTAGTTTTTGAGTTGGGTACATTAAACACAGTTATTTTAGTGAGTGCGTCGAAATAGTCCACCATGTATATATGTTGCTGAATCTTCCCAAGAGGAACCTATTATCATGCAATTGCTATCTATTCTTCTCTTCCTCACAACCTTACATATCTATATATATAGTTATATATTAACCCTTTATTATAATAGGGATATATAGTAGTGACTAAGGGTCGCGGTAGGTTTGTAACCGAAACGAACCGATTTTATGGACTTATCAGTTCCTCCTAACGAGTAAAAATCCATAAGTTCTTAATGGTTCTGATAAACTTTTAAAGGTTTGTTTTGGTTTTTCAGTTTATTCCGAACGATAACGGATACTGAATTTTGGTTTTAGACAATTGACTAATTCATGTTCCGATTTCTAATGATTTTTTGGTTCGGTTAATGGAACCGCCACTCCGAGTAGCGACCCGACCCTTCAACTATGGATGATTACTATTATAGTCCCTAGCTAGCTAACTCTGTGAGTTGGAAAAAATAGAACTATTAACCAGTCGATAAGGGTTTTTCCCCCCCTTCTCTTCAAAAGGCAAAGGATTCCACATTGACATCAGGATAAATCTGATGCTACATAACAGGCATATATATGTTATCTATATATGGGATGTGGAATCTGGCCTTTAGGTTATGATGCTGATTGAATCGACAACTACAAGCTCCATGAACTGCTTCCATGTCGATATCAGTTTGCCAACTTGCAAATTCCAGGCAGCGCACGAGAGCTAGCCAACCACCAATTCAAGGAATTAAGGACCAAATAAAGAGAAAAAGAACAACACCCTAAACTAAAGCTGTTGATGCAGAAATGGATAGGAAAGAACGAGGCATTTTTTAGTTAAGAATTCTACATTGCCATTGGAGTCGCGGATTGTTGACGATAAGGATTCTATAGGTTTCAAGATAGATGCCCTTATAGTATACAAAGACTAGCTAATCAGTCGTTCGAACTAACGAAAATAACGTGCTCGCATGACTTACGTAATTTAAAAAAAAAACTATTTCCTGAACAACATTATATGATATATATATATATATATACATAAATGCCGCTTTCACTATAAAAAAACAAATTTATGTAACTCATTACCACCGAACAAATCTTTTAGTCTTGCCGAATTTCAAAATATCTTTACCATTTCACGGATCACAACATAAGGCATATACACAAACTCTAATTCTACTTCCCATAACCACGTAACGTTATTTTGCGTAACTCATTACCACTAGACCAATCCCCACTACCTTTTTCACTCTATATAAGCACCACAAATCCCTCTACACCATTTCCTCACTCACAAACCATCACTCTTAAGTCTCGAGTATTATATAAATAAATAATACTACCCTTTTTGGTCACTAAAAACATATATATTATATGGCTTCATCCAACGGCTCTTCTGCCAACAACAACAACGGCGGCGGCTGGACGCCGTGGCAGAACAAGCTGTTCGAGAACGCCATCGCCATATTCGACAGGGACACTCCCGACAGGTGGCACAACGTCGCCAAGGCCGTCGGCGGCGGGAAAACCGTCGACGACGTCATGCGCCACTACGATGACTTGGTGGAGGACGTCCGCCGGATCGAGTCCGGCCGCGTCCCTCTCCCCAATTACCGGAAACCGCCACGTCACCCGGGCTCCCCCGCTGGTGCAAGGTCCGCCGTCTCTGAATCTCCCGTCGCTAAAAGTCATCGCTTCAGATATGACGCACAAAGGTAAAAATATATAAGTCTTCGCGATTTTCATATTAATGGTGGTAAAAAAAAAAAATCATTCATTTTATCTTTACGGTTTGGGTTGCTTGTGTTGTAGGCCGGTGGGGTCTGAAGATTCAGTGAATTGGACGCCCAAAATGAATTAGTGACAAAGATCAACTTAAGATGACGGAGACGTCGTTGCAAAAAAAGATGCTTTGTGGAATTTAGTTAAGAGGGGAATTAGTGATGTTGGAGAAATGGGATTAGTTTTTTTTTTTTTTTAATATACAGCAGGGAAATGGAGTTAGTCCAATACAGATGTTTTAGCCATTTGAGGGTTTTTAGGTTCCTAATTTTTCTTCTTCTTTTGTTATCCTCCATCTTTCCCTTCGTTTATGGATGTTTAGTCAATAAAATTTCCCATTCAATTTTCTTTTGATAGATAGGAAGTCTATTACGTTTACAATTAACGCGTGCTTCGAATCTATTATATTGAAATTATGATTACTATCGTGATGACTGATTACACTAGAATATAGGTGGATTGGTTCATGATAGAAAGGAAAAAGTACAATTTTTTTAATGGATAAGGTCGTCCAACAAATTATAGAGCCCCTGTTTCAGGAACAAGATGTAACCAATTTTTTTATTATAAGAAAATAAAATCAGTAATTCGATTAACTAAATAAAACTCATAACATTATTACTCAAAAGTATTATTATGTTTCTAGTATGATTTGAAATAAATTTATCTTCCTACAAAAAATAATTATTTTCTTCAAACAAAATCAATGATACAAGGCTAATTTATATTTGTTGGACTTATTGTTTGAAATAAAAAATCACCCATTTTCATATAAGAAAGATTTGGCTCAGTGGTAGTACTACTAGTATTGAACCTGGAGGTAATAGGTTTGAAAACCTTCAGTAGCATTTAAATCATTAAAAAAATCAATCTATATCACACTTATCTAAAAAATTATCTCTTTTCCATTCCTTTTTGCGGTCGATGGGGCGGTCCTCACTTCCTAGTAGACTTTGTATTTTTTATGTTTGTAAATGATGATCTTGTGGTGATTGTATTTGATGTCTAGCTAGTTGATATAGCTAATTGGACGACAACGTTTTATTATTTTTACTTTTAAGTATTGAAATTTGAATAATGAATTCACGATGTATTATGTATTGTATAAAATGTCATATGTGAAAGTTGTTATTGGTTGTGGTTAACCTTCATACTAACCACAAACTGCGCCAACAAGTAGGGGTGGCATTTCGGTTATTTCGGTTATAACTGATAACCGATCAGCCGGTTATCGGTTAACCGAAATAACCACTCCCCCTACCAAAAACCGTATGAAATAGGCTTCGGTTTCTCGGTTATCTCGATTATCGGTTAACCGACCCACTTTTAAGACCAAAAACCATTTCGTCTAGCCTCCTATAACCGACCGAAGTTCGGTTACTTTGGTTACCGGTTAGTGGATAACCGACCGATTATCGGTTTAACCGGCTGGTTATCGGTTTACCCGGACGGTTAACGGGTAACCGAACGGCCACCCCTACCAACAATAGACAATTAACCGATGAGCGTTACCAATAAACATTTTTTTACTTAATGGTTTAACCACTAATCAAAAAATTAATTAATGATTAACTGAAAAGGATTATCGATTAAATTTTTACTTCATTGTTAAACACTAATTACCAAATCATTTAGTGGTTAACTGAAAACGAACCAATTAGCACCTAGCGCCCTTTCATAAACCATTGGGGTCGGTGTAATGAGAGATATATAGGAGTAGACCTAATTTTATCACGGGCCACTCTACTGATCCAGACTAAATGCGCCTAGGCCCATTGGGCCTCTCTCTTCTGAGAAGAGCGATCCGCTCCCATAGATATAACCACTCGGCTTCCTTCCCGCGTAAAGTACACGCTCCGTCTTCGTCGTCGCCGTTCTTTCTCGCCTGTTTCAGCTCAGCTCTGCTCTCGCTCAGTGCCTGCTCTCCTCCTCTCGCTGCCGGATAATGGAAGCAAAAAAGACTCCTCCTTTCAAAGTAAGCAAAAGTTTTCTTCTCTTAGCTTTTTTTTGGGTGAGAGATAGAGGCGCTTGGTTTCCCAGAAAATTGGAAGCGACTATGATCGGCAGTAGAGTGAAGTGCTAAAAAGCTATAACTTTCCTGTTAAAAACCATGCAGGTAATATTGGGTTCGGCTTCGATTGCGCGGAAAACCATTCTAGCTGAGATGGGTTATCAATTCACCGTCATGGTAAAGTCCCTTTCTCTTCACCACTCTAAATGGTTTACCTTCTTCCAAGTTGAATAATGACCTTTCTTTGTGTGCGTGTGTGTACAAAGACTGCAGATATTGATGAAAAGGCAATCCGGAAGGAAAAGCCAGAGGAGTTGGTAATGGCTCTTGCGGAGGCTAAGGTGATGATGTCTTAGCTACTAGTAGTTCTCAAGGTCCATCTATAGCTAATTTTGTGCTGCAACCTTAACCAATGTTGGGCTTGGATGTTGCCTGCATTTCATTTGTTCAATACTACCATAAATTCGTGGATGTTTGGTTTCGAGACATTAATCGCGTTTAATGTGGGATGATGCATCTCAGGCTGATGCAATTGTAGCTAAACTACAATCCATCAATAATCTGGAGAAGATTGCTGAAGCTGAGACAAGTGTATTAGTTGCAGCTGATACAGTATGTATATTTTGGCCTTTCATGGTCCTTTGTTTAGACAAAGCGGGTGCATGGAAGTCTCACCTGTTGCCATATATGGTTTGAGGATACAAATGTCTAGTGCTGGAACCAACTTTTTTCTCTCTAGTCTTTTTTCCCCTAGACTTGGGGACCATGGGAAATGGCTGGATAAGGGCTTTGTTCACTTACTTAATTTCTTCTTGTTGTTCTCTTTGCATTGTTGCTTCACTTGAAGCACTTGGTTTTTCCCTCTGGTTGTGGAACTACTGGATTTTTTAGCCAGGTGCTTATCTTAGCTTGTGAAAAAACTTCTTCTCAGGCTGAAGCCATCTCGGAGAGACTCCCGATCGGTGACTATGCACAGCGTGCTGAGCCAACATTGTTAATTACCACAGATCAAGTATTAACCGTGGCCAACCTTTTGTACTTGCTTTTCCAAACATTAGATTGTGTTTCATATGTCTAAGTTAAGCATATAAGTGCTGTTAAACTATGTCTTTCATTCCATCATAACCATATCTTGGGAAAAGTTATCCACTCGTATCCTGTTACTGCACTTGAAATTTTCATCACATGCACAATCCTCTCTCAGAGATTGAAATGTGGGATTCTACATACATCAATCATGTTCATTTCCTTGGCAACACATAACTTACTTCTTAAAGTCTTGTGATCCCTCCTGCCCTTTCGCATCATATGTAAAGCACCAAATGACTGCCTGTATCCTCAAACCATAGATGGCTTCTGGTGATTGAGTCATGTCATGCAACCTTTATTGGATTAATTTTCTTGTGGATAACTTACTCTCTCTTTTCGCTCTATTGTTCAATTTACTCCCTCTGGAGGTGGTGGTCTATGATGGTGCAATAAGGGAGAAGCCAAGCAACGAGGAAGAAGCACGGCAGTTCATGAAAGGTTTTTGCTGGACCAACATCTTTTTTGCACCACCGGTTTCCCACCTTGTTCTACTCCTCTGGTTTGTTTCACTTCCATTTGATTCACCAACATTGAAATGCAGACTATTCTGGCGGCCATGCTGCTACTGTTGGGTCAGTCGTTGTAACGAACCTTAAGACCGGTCTGAGGAAAGGAGGATGGGACCGCGTGGAGGTTGCCAACTTATTTCCTTCTGTATGATTTCCTGTTGTCAATTACTCAAGTTCATGCTGGCTAATTGTCAGTTAATCTGGTACCTTCCTGCAGATCCATTTCCACGAAATTCCTGATGAAGTCATCGAGAAGCTGGTGAGAAAAGCTTTCATCGTGAGCTACAAGCTTTTTTTTTGGGTAACGCTTGGGGGGAATTTTTCCCTTTTAAAGCCATAATTCCTTTTTCCTTGCAAGGTTGAAGAAGGGATAGTACTCAAAGCTGCAGGAGGTCTCATCATAGAACATCCTTTAATAGTGCCTTTTGTTAAACAAGTGGTTAGTTTCCCTACTCTCATTTCTGATGCAATTGATGGAACTACGAACCGAATGTTGATACTTACTTTGGTTTGTTGTCTTGTTGGGTCTGATGTTTCAGGTTGGAACTACTGATAGTGTAATGGGACTTCCCAAAGCCCTTACTGAAAAGCTTCTCAAGGAGGTTCTCTAAGTGAAGCAGAGCAGTATTTTACTCACCAGCTATATGATTGATTAGATCATCTCTTTAGCAAAATGATGTAGAGGGCTCATTCGATTCAAACTAGTAAGAACTAAGAACTAGTAGTTAAATTCACGCCCTTTTGTTGTGCTATTGTAAGAACTGGTAGTCAAATCTTCGACCTTCAGTACAATCTCGTCTTCGTCTTGGCTTCGGTTCCACGGTCTATGTGGTAACCTGGCCCCAACCCGTCTTCCTCATCGATTGCGCGTGTATACCCTCAAGGCCCGATCGACCACTCCCTTGTCTTCGGTAGGGTAAGTTTTAGCATTTTTGGGAAAAATGGTAGATTGATTAGCTGAGAACTCATGCAGTTTAATTACTGTAACAAGTAAAGCAAGGATTAATCACTGTAAACGTGCACAGCCATACCAAGAACGACGACTCAGACAACGAGAATCACTTTTCACTAACGACTGGGGTCGAACTGATGAACAAGTCGGGAAGAAGAAATTGAGGAGGGTTGGCAGAGAATGGGCAAAAGGGCCACCTATGAACTCGTTGTTTGCTGAAAGAATTTGCATATAGAATTTTACTATGCACAAAATGGCCCGAAAACGACCCACATTACAAAACAGCCAAAATCAAGGGCAAATTCTGCTTCTCCCTCTTCCTTTTCTGTTCTCCTCCCTCAATATGATGTACATAAGATTTTGCTATATGTCGGCCCAATCTCCCAGAAAACCGTACGGAAGAGGAAGAAGGGCGAAGAAACAAGAAGGGATGATCTCATCTGAAGGAGCTTTGAATCTCTTCCAGAGTCCTTCCTTTCGTCTCGGGAACCCAGAGTGATACAAATGCCACAGTGAAGGCACTCACCACCGTGTAAATGATGAAAGTTCCTGGCGAAGAAGAGAAGCGAAAGTCGAGATTCAGCCATTACCAAAAGCAGAAGCTCAGATGAATGAGTAAGAGAAGCAAGCAAAAAACCAACCTCCTGCACTCCAAGTCAAGAGCAAGTTTGCTGTCACGGTAACCAGCCACACAATGAACCAATTCGCCAGCGTTGCTGTGCTTCCAGCTAGGCCTTTAATGTTGACAGGAAGAATCTGCAAATTTCCACCGAGAAAAATTTAATCAGCCAATGTTTTGTTTGACAGAGATAGCTCTGCTCTAAGAATGCCATACCTCGGACATGATAACCCAAGGGATGGCTCCCATTCCCAAAGAGAAGGTAACAACCATGGCCTGCAGCGAGGACAAAAATATGTTTCAGAGATTCGAGGACTATGCATGGCAAAATAAACTAAATCTGAAGACGATTACCAGAACTCCAACAACTGACAGAATCCCCAATATGTTGGACAAATTCGAATCACTTGATATGAAATCCTTTACGATGAAAGATACAGCGACAAGTAGAATGCTGAGAGTCATCCCAATAGCAGAGACCTGAAACCAGGAAAACACAGGTAAGAGTAAGACATTGATGAATTGACATGTTTTGTTTTGCATTTGGGACCATTCCATGGTTTCTCTAACTCACTATGAGTAGAACTCGGCGCCCAGCTCGATCAATGAGCCAGGTTGTTACAGCAGTGGCTAGGACCTGGAGCGCACCAACGATACATGTGACCATATTGCCGTTTGTAACTCCTGAACCAAGTTTGCAGGATATCGTTAATCATAAAAAAGAAAAGTTCGCACGATATCAAACACAAACCAAGAAAGGAAAATCTACTGCCGAGAAATTTTTGATGTGAAATAATGGGAGATTACCAGCAGCTTCAAAAATGGTGCTGGAATAGAATAGGACGGCATTGATTCCACTGAGCTGTTGCAGAACAAGCAAGCCAATTCCAACCTGCATGTGTCAGATGAATAATTTGAGGCTTTTTCTTGGAGATTAAACTCCACAGTTGCATAAGAATGTTGCTATTTACCATCAACGGGAACCAATATCTTTTCCTTTTTAGGTCAGCGAAGCGGATTGCTTGTTTTCTGCCAGCAGAAGCCACTGCTCTCTACAAGGAAAGAAGCAAAAAGAGATCTGAAGCAACTGATTGAGGTATCATTATCTGGAACTCAAAGTATTGAAATTTTTCGAGCTTATTACCTTAACTTCGTTCACTTCCAGGGAAATATCAGCATCGAACCCACGGAGAACTTGCAGAGATGCTTCAAAATCTTCCATCATCCCCATTTTCGCCTTTTTATCAGTAGGAAAGCACACAGATCAGCATTGAGAAAAATTATCATAACAAACAAAACCCCTAATTTCAAGAAAGCTTTGGCGCATACCAACCACCGGGGAGACTCGGGAATGAAGAACAGGCCAGGTATCAGAATTGTGCAAGGCAATACTCCTGCATTAAGGCGACATCCAATTAATTACCAAAATAGCAGATAATCTAGAGTGGCAGCATATAGCAGCATTATTGGAAAAAGCTTCTGGAGTCTTACCTAAAACAGCTAGAATTCTCCATGGGACAAATAGTCCGAGCAGGTAAGCCAGCAAGATTCCAATAGTGACAGAGAGCTACGGATAGAGATGGACACAAATCCATTAGGAACTCACTGTTAGAAGTATCACTAATCTGTTTAGCTTGATGTTTTCAAGCGATTCTTCTCAACCCACCTGATTGACAGAACCCAAGCCTCCTCTCAGATTTTGTGGTGCTATCTCTGCTATGTAAACAGGCACCTGATTGAATCAACAATCTTTCATAGTTTCAATTCACAAGCTTTCTTGCTACTGAAACTTACTAATACAAAAGAAACTAGTGTCAGAAGTTTAACCGTGTAAGAGATGATCCCCACGCCAAAACCCTCCAGCAATCTCCCCATGTAGAGGAATGAAGAATCCTTTTCCAGCAAAAATGAGCAAAGACACTAAATTTAGAAATGCTTTTGCAAGCTCATGGTTAACTTAGCTGTATTGGATTCTTTACATTATAGACAGAGCTAGTTAACTCACTGTGGCAAACGAGATGGCTAGCCAGCCGATAATGTTTGGGATTGCAGCAATCATTAGAGACTGAAAAGAGGCAAGACCAGCTCATAAAATAGCAAACAAAAGAACACGATCCAAAATATAACCTGAAGAACAGAAGAACAGGATGAAATACCCCTTTTCTGCCGATGTATTCAGCAATCTGCCCACTGGCAATTGCTCCAACCATAGCTCCAACATTCGACAAGGACCCAAACAAAGAAAACTGCCCAATTTCAAAACCCAAAAAGAAATAAGACTCGAAGCCGGAAGCCTGAAGACAAAATCATGAGGTGAGTCCGTTCATTCTTGCCTCGGAGACGGTAAGATTGAGATCCTTTGTGATGGCGGACTGAGTCGGGGAAGAATACCCACACTGTAGCAGAAGAAGCAATTGAATTGAATTTCACAAATTTGATCAATACCCAGAAGAAGAAAGATAGCCAAAATCGAAATTGGATGGTGCTTACGGTGAAGCCGAATTGGATTGGGCCGAGGGCGACGATGAGAACGCAGGCGAGGACGGAGATGGAGCTGTCGCGAAACCCGGCGGTAGAACCCATCATGCTGGAAGACTGCCTCGAACCCATCCGGTACCAGCTCCCCGTGTGTAGGAACGGCTTCCGCAGATCCCCGCCGCCGCCTCTCCCATCCTCGTTATCGTCCCGGAAACTCATTTGTTCTCCGATCAAACTCCGGCAACCACTCTACTGAATTGAAGAGACTGTAGACAGTAAAGGAATTGTTTCGTCACTGATTGGTCAGGTTGTGCCGGAAGGAGCCGGGGGAAGCCATTGTTAATGGCGTGTTTTCTTTGGGTTTTTGTGCGTGTCCGTGGAAGCAAAAGGCTTATCCAGATGATTACCGGCGGAAATGGTCACTAGAAGGCGGAGCACTGAAGGTGCGAAGCACTGGATCCTTCTCCTTTTGGTTTTTATTTTTGTACTTCTTCCAGCTGTTCTTTTGTCTCGACTGATGCAGTTTTCGAATCTACAATTTATCGGGTTAATTGCATGGTTGGTCATTGAGATTACAAAAAAAGTTCATGTTTGGTCACTGAAAATATTTAAATTCAATCTTGTTCACTCAAATTAGTTAAATGGTTCAAGTTTGGTCACTCTCTATTACCTTCCGTCAGTTTTCGTTAACAGCGTCAGTTATTTGCTGACATGGCTAACGGAAACGCCTAATCAGCGAATTTTGACCCCAAAATATTAAAACAAAACCCTCCAGATCAGCAAATCCCTCCACATGAGTTTCCCCAACCCTGCTTTTGACCCGACTCCACTCCCCAATCCAACCCTTGACCCGACTCTTCCCAAACCCATAATCGCCATCTTCCAAGATGGAAGCCAGTAAAGGTCGGCACCTCTCCATCTTCCCCAACCCAATCTTCTTCCCCTACCTGTTCATCGTTTCCATCAAATCCAGAATTAACACATCAACTAACAAAGCCAGCTACAATTAAATCCATACCCTTCATTCCTTCTTCTACATCAAGGGCGGCCAGGCTTGGAGGCCTCATCGTCGTTGTACCTCCCGGTCGAGTCGTCGCCGTGTTCACTGCAGATGACCTCCCAGAACTTGGAGCCGATTTTGTTGCCGCACTGGCCGCCCTCGATGTAGAAGAAGGAATGAAGGGTATGTATTTAATTGTAGCTGGCTTTGTTTGTTGATGTGTTAATTCTGGATTTGATGGAAACGATGAACAGGTAGGGGAAGAAGATTGGGTTGGGGAAGATGGAGAGGTGCCGACCTTTACTGGCTTCCATCTTGGAAGATGGCGATTATGGGTTTGGGAAGAGTCGGGTCAAGGGTTGGATTGGGGAGTGGAGTTGGGTCAAAAGCAGGGTTGGGGAAACTCATGTGGAGGGATTTGCTGATCTGGAAGGTTTTGTTTTAATATTTTGGGGTCAAAATTCGCTGATTAGGCGTTTCCGTTAGCCATGTCAGCAAATAACTGACGCTGTTAACGAAAACTGACGGAAGGTAACAGAGAGTGACCAAACTTGAACTATTTAACTAATTTGAGTGAACAAGATTGGATTTAAATATTTTCAGTGACCAAACATGAACTTTTTTTGTAATCTCAATGACCAACCATGCAATTAATACGTACAAAATATATTTATGTATAATTTAATACTCTACAAGATATATAATACAGATTCATGTGTCAAGTTTTCAGCATTTTGAAAATGCTGGCCATAGAAGGTTTTACGGAAGGCTAAAGAGGACATTTTCATATACAACTAAAGCATGATGTGCGTTTTGTTTAATGCGGTCCTTTTCCCTTATAATTTACTCTCCACCAATTTTTGGGCTTAAATGGGCCTATACTTGGGCCTCTAACCACAAAAACGATCTCATAATATTTAAGAAATATACAACAGGGGAGTGATTGAGAAGTTCGTATAGTTTGAGACTTCGGAGAACTGGATTGATTGAGTCTCAGCATCATTGCCAGCGAAAACCAACCTATCCTCATGGAATGCAACGAGTGGAGGATAACCTCAAAATGTATAAGTTAAATGAGGAATTGGGAATAACGGGTAATACGTACAAAATATATTTATGTACAATTTAATTATCTGGTTTTATGGTTATTTGTTTATATAATATAGATTCAAACATATCTTTTTCCATTTTTAAAATTTTGCAACGAGACCAAAAATAGTAAGGGTCCATTCGTCATTACAGTTATTTATTTCTTACGAAAAAATACATTAGCGTTGGAATTTGAATCAGGATCTCTTGAGACAAAGACGAAAATTATAGTCAACTACCCTAAATAAATTTGTTATATCTTTCTAAACTAAAAACATACATGAAGCAAAAATCTGAAAATCAGAAGGCTTTCCCCCCTGGTTGGTTAGCTGCACCACTAAGTCTCCTTTAGGTATTTCTTTGGTAGTTGATTATTATATTTTGATTATTTTAATTTAATTAGAATAATTAATTTAATTTTTTCTATCTTATAAATGTAAAATAATCTTAAGATTGTAACCCAAATATCATTAATTTAAATATTTTATATAATATTACAATATTAGATATGTAGAAGCTATTTAGAATTCTTAACTTTTAATAAACTCATCGCTTAGCATAACCATTAATTGATATTGGTCCTTTTAATTCAACAACATGATAAAAAAAATATTTGAAATTACCAATAAGATAAGAAGATGAGTTATTATTAGTGTGAGTAGTTTATTTATTCAAGTTACCAATTTTTATATACTTGGTAGTTTATTCCTTAAACGTTTGAAATTAATTTGAGGTTAACTTTGATGAATATGTTTATGGTGATTTCTTTGCGGGTTTCTTTATGAACTTATATATCAATTGAAAGTTGCATTATTGTTGATTGTGAGTGTTTTTTTAAACAAATTGGGGCACTTTTATTCCAAATTGCAGCAGTGAAAGTACAAATGATTACAAAAGTGGAGAAAGGAGATCAGCAATACCGATCCAATCTCGTGGGAGAGCATCTAATCTAGCATTACGAGCAACCCAATCGGCTAGCAGATTGTGACTTCGAGGAACAAACATCACTTTTACCCACGGAGCCGAAAAGAGAATGGTCGAGACACGAGCAAGTAAAGCCCGACATTGCCAAGGCCATAGGTCTGGAACAAGCTTAAGAGCATTCACCAAAATCTGACAATCAGATTTGACACAAGCTGAGCTCTGCTCCCGAGCGACCAAGATCACTGCATTGAGAATAGCATAAGCTTTCGCCTGCATCGAACTGGAACAAAAGAATCTCTCAACCTTGCCGTCATACACCTGACCATGGGAATTAGCAACTGTAATCCCACAAGCCGCCATCTGTGATTCAGAAACAAAGGACCATCACAGTGCACGATCCTATGAAAGGCACTAGGCGGTGGTGAGGGGTTAGAACGGGATCCCCTAGGTTGAGTAGGCTCCATAGCTGGACGTATAGAAGAGTTAGAACGATCACAATTTCTAGCTTCAGTCAAGCCTAGAAATTCTCTCTCAGCTAAAGTAGCCGTTGAGGGCGGGGAAATAGCCCTGTTCTCGAAAGTGAACCCATTCCGAGCGATCCAAATATTCCATAAGCAACACTCAGCGAATTTAGTCTCGGGTGTCGGTGGGGTGGACAGACCTCCAAAGCACTCCCGTGTACTCTCAGCATGCTGGCAATGAAAGAACATGTGCATGATTGACTCCACTTGCTGCTCACATATGGGGCACATCGGATCAGTCGAACACATCCTAGAGAAGAGACGGGCATGAGTCGCAATTGCATGTTTTGCACTCTTCCAGATGAAGAAACGAAGCTTTGGGGTGACTGAAAGAGACCAGAGCCATTTCCAGTCTTGCCTGTTGGGGTGAGCCTCATTTGAACCTGCCGACAAAGACAAAGGAGAATGGTCTCTAGCTTCACGTAAAGATTTATAAGCTAAACTTACCTTGTATGCTCCTGTGGTTGTGTGCTTCCAAAACCACTTATCTTCAGATGTAGATGGTCCGATTGGAATACTCTTGATAGCCTTAATCATCTCGTGTGGGATAACCTCGTGTAAAGCCTCCACATTCCATTCCCGAGTCGAGGGAGAAACTTGGTTATAGTTAGGTTGGTTAAAGTGTTTAATAATTTGGGACATGAAATTGGTTGGACACGTTTAGTTAGTTGTGATACCAAGTAAAGATGGTGGTGGCTATATTATTCTTAGTTGCCACATGAGTTCATACAAATTAACCCAGATGATTTCAGTATACGTGACAACTAAATAGTTAGAATAATTAATTTAATTTTTTCTATCTTATAAATGTAAAATAATCTTAAAATTGTAACCCAAATATCATTAATTTAAATATTGTATATAATATTACAATATTAGATATGTATAAGAGATGTAGAATTCTTAACTGTTAATCAACTCATCGCTTAGCATAACCATTAATTGATATTGGTCGTTTTAATTCAACAACATGATAAAAAAATATATTTGAAATTACCAATAAGATAAGAAGATGAGTTATTATTAGTGTGAGTAGTTTATTTATTCAAGTTACCAATTTTTTATATACTTGGTAGTTTATTCCTTAAACGTTTGAAATTAATTTGAGGTTTAAAATTAATTTGAGGTTAACTTTGATGAATATGTTTATGGTGATTTCTTTATGAACTTATATTTCAACTGAAAGTTGCATTATTGTTGATTGTGAGTGACTGCTAATGAATTTTCTATCAAAACTTGGTTATATTTAGGTTGGTTAAAGTGTTTGATAATTTGGGACATGAAATTGGTTGGACACATTTAGTTAGTTGTGATACCAAGTAAAGATGGTAGTGACTATATTGTTCTTAGTTGTCACATGAGTTCATACAAATTAACCCAGATGATTTTAGTATACGTGACAACTGAATAGTTAAATGAGATAGAGTTATACCTATAAATATAAATGAGGAGTTATGAATTGACTTAGTGGCCATATTATTTAAAATTTTAGTTCGTTTATTTATGTGGTAAGAGTTAATACTTAATACTGAGTACATACATTTCAAATAGTAATTTATTTAAGCTCCTCGAAAGCCTCAACAACCAGATTTTCCAAAAGTTGCTTGCAACTGCAATTCGGGGTCAACTTTGGAGCTATTCTCCAATTTTGCATGCTCTATTTGCATCTCCGTCCTCTCTAGAATTCATCATCTGGTCAGGTCTCTCGGCTATTGAAGAGTTAAGTCGTAACTATATAGTTTTAAAAAACAAAATTGTCAATAATTGCACCCCGTTTTGAACCCTTAAGTTGGTGATGTTCAATATATATAGTGTACATAATAAAATTGGTTATATGTTCACTATCATCTAAAATATCCATCATAAACTTAGATAACGATAAAGAAAATGTATATGAAAACGAATTAGGAACTGTGGTTCACCCATGAAAAGTTAGGGTGTATATATATATAGTTCAGGCTAGCGTACATCAGGTGTACATTGTGCGTCCGTCGAGTTTTACTATTTAAAGCACGAAATAACCGGAGTGTGGGGCATGATACTATAAACCCTAACCTCTAATGGGTGAACCTCAGTCCCTAATTCTCTAACCCAAGCCACAAGATTCATTTAATCTAAAAAAATAATAACCGACGGTTCTGATTCAGCGAAATATATTGAAGTGCAAAAACCAAGTGTGAACACAGGCGTACGCTAGCCTTATATATATATGGTGACTACTTCGGTGCACTCACAAAAATGAGTGTGTTCAATGCACCCAACTCAAAAACTAGTCTTAAGGTGTCAGATTTTGAATTTTAATTTGTAGAATTAATGTAATATGATTATATAACATATGATAACAACTAATTAGCGGATTACCCTAAACTCTAGACCTCCAATTTTGATATCTATCCCTAAACCTCAAATTGTAAACCCTAACACCCTAACCCTAAATCTCTAAACTCTAAATCCTTCAAATTAAAGTAAATCTTTAATGATTTTTGTGCAAATTCATGTGTGTTATTGTTCATCACATCATAAGTGATGATTGACATCATTTGGACATAAATCACATGTTTAAAATGACGGTTATGAAGTTAGTGCACGGAATGCATCAAAAAAGTGAGTGCACCGAAGACGTCACCACATATATATATATATATATATATGTTACGTATCTTTACTTTAGAACGTATCTCATAGTTGAATTGGCTCTTTTTGATAATAATGTTTAACATGATGGTGAAAACTACAGGAGACTCACTATATTGTTGCTCATCATATTTAAAATATATCGCTAGGACACCTAATAGAAAGCGTTGATTTTCCAATTACTTACTTTTGACATATCTCCAACATGTCATCTCTCACTCAAATCATATAATTTCAATGCACAGTTTGTGTCGTGATCAACAAAGAAGATAAATTAGAAATATATTATGTGGATATATTGTAATCCATCAAAGGACACTAATTTTCTTCTATAGTGAAGATTGATTATGTATGTCTCATATTGTTGCAACATGAGCATTTGGAGAAATTACAAGGTATCAAATTGGACACTTTTTTTACAAACAAAAAGTTAGTTAATGATCAATTAATATAGAGCTATCTATCTTTTTTTAATATTTTCTTTTTTATTTTAATGATAATTTATGT